CTGTGTAAAAATAATAGGCTTTGTCCCATTAGCAGATTATATAGGCTAAGAATTATAATGCACAAATCATGGAAAATTTATGAATAAAATCTTCTATCTTTTTCTTCAATATTTCCTCTGCATCGTTAATCCTTTCTATTCTACTTTTCTTCGATCTCAACTTCTCTATTTCTCAAGGGTCATAACATATATGCACATATAATATAAGTTATATGCTAATGATCTATGAAGTTATATGAAAATGTTATAAGGAATTTATGAAATTGAATTAAGTAAATACTTAAAGTTAGAGTAAAAATAAAATACTATTAAGTGATATATGTTTATAAATATGACATAGATTATGTAATATAAGTGCATACCAAGAAATGAAGAATAAGATAGATGATACGACATAACTTATGTGAAAATGATATAGATGTATATATGTGATATGTAAATTATGTGACAATAAGTTATATGAAAATAAGTGTAGTGGTTACATGATCACAAGAGATAAGTCAGAGAATATGAATGATATGATAAAAAACTATGAGCCTATGTGATATGAATAAGTAACTATGTGAAAATGAACAATGTGAAGGAAGTTATGAAATTATGTGCTTATTTAATGTGAATATGTGACAAATCTAATAATAATGCCCATGTTATGTTTTATGAGAGCTACATGTATAGTTGGCATGCCAAGAGTCGAGGGTTCTACGTGATCCTTCGGGACATATATGTAATTATGTGGAACATATATGTGGTACTTCGGTACACTTATTTTGTCCATTGTATTATGTATATGGTTCTTAAGGAGTGGTCATTCGGGATATAGTGGTCCTTCAGGACAAATATTCAGTGCCCTATAGTGGGAATTTATTCGAGCTGTGGTGACAACATATGTGCACAATCTCAATATACTCACATACCTTAAGTTCTCATATGTGTACATGAATTTTAAAGAGAATAAATAAATCAATTGATACGGTATTATGTGTGCTCTTTTGAGAAATGATATATGTGTTGATGATGTGTATATGAATGTTAATTATATGCTAATATGATACAATAAATTAGTGATAATAATATAAGTAATGATAGGCATGTTAATGATGATATGATGATATGTGTGCATGTAGATAATTGATTATATGAACTGATATATCATGTTTATATTAGATTATGATATTAATTGTGAAACATTCATGCATTACTGAACATTTAGAGAGTTCATATTATATTTTTTTTATTCCTCACTAAGTCATAGACTTAGCGTGTGAGTGTTTCACACGTAGGTTCCAAAAAGCGAGAAGAGAAGCGAAGAGGAGCAAGACAAGTCAGATTCTTCTTTTCACAAATTAGATCAGAAATGTAATTGAGTATATGTATTTTGTTATATAGAGTGTTGTTGGCATGTAGTCTAAAGATTTATATTGTATTAGCTTTGATATAATTTTGTAAAACAAATTGATTTTTAATAAATGAAAAGTAATCATTTTCTTAAATTGTGCATTTAACTTTTAGTCATTTTGTAAAGGAAAATGCTGAAAAGTTAATGTGACATCTTGAACTCTGATCCGAGTTGGATACGGGTTGGGGGTATTACACGCACCCGGTTCATCCATTATCTTGGAGATTGATCTAAAGTATGTTTATTAGGTTGCCTTTTGATGACCGCCGGTAGAGTGTACTTTTTTACTTCTGCACCATGAGAGTCGACTATTTGGTGGATTAGGAAGCATGATTAGTGATGTGATGGAAGAATTAAGCTGTATCACTCCTATTGGCTATATTGGGATTTCCCCACAATGGTACTCTTAGCAAATAGCAAGTTTTTTCCATTCTGAAAGTGAAAAGTATCCAAATATGAATTCATGGTTTTCATTTTAAAAGTTTTACTTTTGCTAGTAGGTAGCTGTGCAGCTGGCATTATGAGAGAAATTTTGATCACCAAGCTATCTTCTTCATCGAGATGGTATAGAGAACTTCAACCAAAAAGGATTGATCCAAACAGATGTGATGTCGATAAAGTGGAAGGTGAAAATATAGTTGGTACTATTTGTTTGCCATAATGTCACATGCAACAAAATTTGTCTCTAAATTTGATATTCATACTTAAAAATCACTGTTCTTACGATGAGGCTAGCATCCATGGGGAAATGATATGGGGATTTCAACCTTTTCATATCTAAGTTAATACCAACTTTTGATTGCTCAAAAAAAGAAGAAAGGCCATCTTTTAAGTTCATGATGTTTATTATAGTTGGACCATTTGAAGTTCAGCAAGAGGCAAGCTAGTAGGTTACTTTTTCGTTTCCCGTATGATTCTTTATTGTTTTGCGTAAACTAACTAAATACCTGCTAGCAGTTCATTGATTAGCAATGAAACTGGAATTATTTTAGCTCCATCATATACATTCTCAATATTTCCCAGAATTGTTCTTGACCATGTTTTTGAGCTGTAAAAGAGTTATGATAATGTCTCAGACCAAGAAGAAATAAAAAGAAAGAAAGAAAGGTCTATGTGAAATAGTTAATAAGTGAACCGAAAAAAATTAACAGTCCTAGTAAAAGAAAGATGCTGACTATCAAGATTGATATTGCATCAGATGCTGATGAGTCCTTTGTCCTTGGTAGAATAGAGAAGGTGTTAAGAAAAGCAGTATCGAAACTTTTAGTGATTTGTTATTCTTGCTTTGGTTAATTAAAGAATTGGATTGATCCTGATCAGAAACATGGGTGATTGTCTTCATGAGATTTTCTACTATATATAAAATTGTAAAAGTAAAAATTAAAAAGGTAAATTTCATTTTCAAGGACAAAACTTGGTGTTTGAGATTCAATCACTTGCAGGATTCTGTCTATTGCGAGGCAAAGAAGTGTTCTTAACATATGGTTTCTGAAAGTGAATGGTGATCTCGTACAACCTGAGAATTCTGGTTTTGAGATTGCCTTAACAACTTAAGCAAAGAATAACTTCCCTATCAGTTTGGATTTGTGCTTCATGATAGTACTTCCACTGAGTTCCACTTGAGATGATCCTTATCGTTCTACTTGAACACTGCAAAACTAATTTTTTTAAAGGCCATTTAAATTGGACACCAACACTGTCTGTCTCACATCACACAGAAAAGTTAAAGTTGCATGAATCACCTTGAGCAATCAGCTAGAAGTTTATTGGGGGACACTTTTCATTCTCACATGATTCTCAAGGAAAGAAAACTACTTTTTTTCTCAAAGCTGTCTGTACATCTTATTTAGTACATTTCTTTTACATTGCCCCCTGTTCAAAGCCAGGCTCAATTGGTCGCAGTAAAAATAATCATTCATTCATCCTCCATGGCTGCACCTTATCCTTTTCATTTTTTTTCTGTGTGTGATAAAGCTCTTCAAGTTGATTCATGCAGATTTGATATTAGTTCAGAATGAGGTGGAGCCATTTAAAACTTTTCTACAAAAAATGCTAAAATTCCCTCTGGCAAATTATTTACATCTGCTTTAGAATAATAAGTAGCGTGCATTATTTATTCGTGTTCCTCCAATTATTCTAATTCATTAAAAGTTGTAATACTACTAGTTTGTTCTCTTCTTCCTTAATTACTTTATAAGCATTTAGTTCAAGATTCTTTTCGACATCTTTAATTTTATTTGGTGCACTCTTCTCGAAGTAAAGGCGGTGGACCATAAAATAAATTATATGCTTGTATTCAAAGATCTGGATATCCAAACTATGTTAGGAATGTGAAAAGAAAATTGTCTCAGAATCAGAAAAAACTGATAGTGATGCCCTACAAGTTACCATGATGAGTCTCTGGGAGAAAAGTTTATATTGCATCGGCACCAGTGTTTTGCAAATTTTTCATGTGGGAAGGAAATTGGATCTGTTGGCACTTCTTCATCTTGTGTCTCTAACCATTTTGAAAACGTATGCTGCAGACAACATTTCTAAATGGCATAAAGTCTTGGGGTATTGATTAATGCATGCTACAGCCTTATTTGGATTAGGATATTTCCTTGTGGCAATCCCCTCAAGCATCTCAAATATGATTGAATGGTCCATATTGTTATTTTCTAGGGAAGCTTTTATTCAAATTCTATCAATGAGGACAAGGCAGGCATTTTCTTGCAGTTTATTTCCATGTGATTTATATGGTATTGAAGAATAATTTTTTCGTTAATGGGAGTTGTGAGTGACCCTTTTATACCTGCAACTTGACTTGCTTTAAATTATCTTCCTTGGCAGATTTTTAACCTCTAGACTTGCTATTGGGATGGGGGTGAGGAGTATGGGGAAAATATATAGGAGAAAGAGAACATATACTAAATTGAAGGAGCTTGGGTTTTCACTTGCCTTCTTGGGGGAAAGAAATGTGAAAAAGGCTCCATTTTACGGCCAATAACTGATGTTAGTACCGGAATCCGATACTAACAACCTTGCCACTTTCCATGGTATTTAGAATATACGATCTGTGTATGATTATGGAATATCGCACTGCTCTGCAGTCAAACTGAAGAATCAGCATGATAAACTGTTAAGCAGTGCACATGAAAATATCATGACCAGTTTGTAGCTTGATACAACTTTTCAAGGTACACACACACCCCTCTTACAGTTTCATCTTCGATGAGATGATCTTTTACTCTTCTTTCCACTTACCCTTCAACATTTTGCTTAAATGCTGATGTAGAAACTAGAATCTGCTATCTTGAATTATTACATTAATTAATGGGCTATCAACTTAACAATTTGTATACTTTATGAATAGAGAAAAAAACATTTCCGTTGGATGAAGTCATTGTTTCTAATCAAGAAAAACATGTGAGGCTCCACAGTACTATACGGATCAAATCAGAAGGATATAGATTTATCTAAAAAGAACAAACGAAATCAGCACAATATGCTTCTGATGACCGGCTTGTAAGTGCGGGGAAAATACGCCCATTATTCAACAGGTACATGACAAAATCAAACATTATATATAGAACCTCTAGCTTGTTAGTTGTGATCAAGAAGTATTATCTTCTTATTTCTTTTGTGAACTCTCTACTTGTTCATTTTTAACCATAACATGGATGGGAAGAAACTGGAATATAAGGGCGAGGATGCGTTGAAGGAGATTGAGAATTTAACAGCAACTGCTGCTGAAGTTCAGTGTGGCATCTTGAAAGAAATTTTAAAGCAAAATGCAGAAAGTGAGTATTTGAATAAGTATATGAAAGGATCTAAAGATGTTTCTCAGTTTAAAAGTTGTGTCCCAGTTATTACCTACGAGAATATCTATCCTTATATCCAGAGAATTGCTAATGGTGAAGGCTCTTCCCTCATTACTGGTCAGCCCATAACTGAAATTCTGTGCAGGTTTCCTCCTGCTGTCTCTACTCTTTATACCATTGTCTCTTGTTCTTTTGCTTCTTTCAAATAATTTTTCATGTTCTATATTGCAATTTGAATGAAACTTGTTTCTCAATTTGCAGCTCAGGGACTTCTGCCGGAGAGCCTAAATTAACGCCATCAATAGCTGAAGATCTTGACCGTCGCACGTTTCTTTATAATCTCATCATGCCAATTATGAACCAGTTACCTTACATCTTCTTCCTTTTTTCTATATTGTTTTCCATTAATTCCGTCACGCCATATTTGACTGTGTATGCATTTGTGCATGCATGTTTGTTCATTTGTTGGACTTGGTAACCGCCTCATACGCTCTTTGAAGTTTTTCTACCCTATATTCTTTCTTGAAGTGGTTTCTATCACTTTCAATTGAGAAGATGTTATTCCATATTTTTGCTTTAAAAAATTCTTTGGATCTTCATGATCCACCACAAATTTTGGATTCTCCATTCTGAGCTTAAATTTGATGCACGATTAAAGCCGTACTGTATAGTGTTTCAAGGGTACACCTTACTATCCATTAACAAGATTGTAAGAAGAATTTGCTGCAAACTCAGCACTTTCAGAAAGTAATCCCTACTTGAGTTGAAGCAGCCAGAACTTTTATCCACTCACAAGTTGCTTAGTAATCTTTAGAATTTAGATCATGTTATTAATGGAAGTTAGCGTGTAATTCATGAAAAGAACTTTTCTCTCATCCGCATCAAAACTTTTTGCACAGTAACATTCAGATTAATGAAAGCACTATTATAGTGTCTCAAATGTAATAATCGAATCGTAAAAGATATTCGGAACTCGATAATGAATTTCTCAGTAAGCACACACTAAGTATGAATTCTCCAATGATAAGTAGTAGATGTTTTGGTTAAAATGATGCTTTTATTGACATTTTGATTTTTAGGTACATTTCTGGTCTTGATGATGGGAAGGCCATGTATCTCTACTTTGTCAAGGCCGAATTATCTACACCTTGTGGTCTGCCAATTCGCACCGTGCTCACCAGCTACTACAAGAGCAAGCACTTCAAGTGCCGAACACGAGATCCATTTAACGATTTTTCAAGCACAGATAAGGCAATCTTGTGCAATGATAGCCACCAAAGCATGTACTGCCAGTTGCTAGCTGGTCTAGTACATCGTCACCAGGTTACGAGACTGGGGGCTGTATTTGCGTCGGCTTTCCTCCTAGCCATTTCTTTTCTTGAGCGTAAATGGGTTCAATTATGCAATGATATCCGCACTGGCCATCTTGACCTATTGATCATAGACCCTACGTGCCGGTCATCGATGATGGATATACTATCATCACCTAATCCCCATCTAGCTGATGAGATAGAGGGCATTTGTAGCCGTCCATCTTGGAAAGGAATCCTGTGTGACCTTTGGCCCAGGGCCAAGTACATAGAGGCTGTAGTCACTGGCTCCATGGCACAGTATATACCAGCTCTCAAGTATTACAGTGCAGGAAAGTTGCCTTTGGTTTGTACTATGTATGCTTCCTCTGAGTGTTACTTTGGTGTCAACTTGAAACCTATATGTGACCCTGCAGAAGTATCATTTACCCTCTTGCCTAACATGTGCTATTTTGAATTTTTACCATTGGGTGAAAATGGAACGCTTGCCATGGACATAGATGAAGACGAGGCAGTGCCGAATGACAGGCTTGTTGGTTTGGTGAATGTTAAAGTTGGCTGCTATTACGAATTGGTGGTTACTACTTTCTCTGGTAAGAAAACAATTATTTAAAAGCTTTTTGTTGAAAGAAAACTCATGTTTCCTTTAGTTCGCTGCCCGCCGTAAAAGATTTGGTGCATGTTGCTATTGTCGTTGTCACCGTCCATCAACATTAGTCGATGTTTGGTTAATGATTCAGGTCTGTATCGATACCGTATTGGGGATGTGCTTCAGGTGACTGGATTTTACAATCAAGCCCCACAGTTCAGATTCATTTGCAGGAGAAATGTTGTGCTCAGTGTTGACAATGACAAAACCAGTGAGGAAGATCTTCACAGAAGCGTCACCACAGCAAAGAAATTGTTAGAACCCTTCAACGCTTTGCTTGTGGAATACACTAGCTATGCTGATACATCCTCTGTCCCTGGACATTACGTACTCTTCTGGGAAATTCAAATGGTAGATTCCGCCATCTCAATCGATGCAAAGCTGCTAGAAGAATGTTGCGTTACTGTCGAAGAAGAGCTCGATTATGTCTACAGGCAATGCCGTACCCGGGAAAAGACCATAGGGCCACTCGAGATACGGGTGATTGAGCCTGGAACATTCGAGGCGTTGATGGATTTCTTCATCAACCAAGGGGGCTCTATCAATCAATATAAAACACCAAGGTGCATCAAGTCTAGCAGTGCTCTTAAGCTGCTGAATTCTCATGTCTTGGCATCATTCTCTAGTCCTAGGGATCCCAGATGGATTCCGTTGAATGGCAAATAAACGAATCCTAACTTTGTTTTGTAAGTTTGGCTTGGTTTGTCTTCTTAGTCTAGCTAGCTAAACAATTGCTATAGTTTCGAATGGCTTGAATCACAAGCAATCGGATAGCCCGATTTATCAGACTATAGCTATGAGCCACATCGCTCAACCTGTAATCTTCATCTTATTTGCAAGTGAATATTTCTATTTCTAACTTAGTGAGCACTTAACTACAAAATTTTAACACATAAATACATGCATATATATATATATATATATATATATATATAAGTGTTCTGAACTCTAAGTGCTTAATGGTTGTCTGAGTAGTACCATACGAGTAAGTTTCTGTCGACACGTCTCTGCAAAGTAGTACGTATGGTACTAGATGACTAAGAAAGCTGCTGTCTACCTTTATTCAAGGAAGCATTGTCTCGTTGACAGGACAAAGCAAAAGAACACTATGATAATGGCCATTTTCCTTTTCTTTCACTGGCGCTTAGGCTAGTTAACAGTTCGATTTGATTCCAACGACATTTCAGCCCAAAAGAGAGTGCACCATATATCAGAACCAAGAGAATTAATCTTACGCAAAAGTTTCAGATTGGATTCCTCAGCTTGTGTGCATGCATTTGCATGTGCATGTGTGCTGCCAAAGGGTACGGCCCATAATGATTTATGAGTTTTATGGCGATATTTTGGGAGAAGTATGCGTCACCTACATCTTACAATGCTTTCCAAAGGGTACATTAATCTTGGGAGAAGTGTCTTGCTCACGCCTCAAACTTCCAGTACCGTTAAGTCTTTCTTTCTTTAAACATGTGCCCCACCAGGTCGGCTTGAAAATCCCTGCGATGCACAAACAATGCAGTATCTTTACAAGATAATCATCACTTTAGCCATTTACCCTCCCACATTTCTAGCTCCATCGTGCCCGATGATATGCGCATGCATATTCTCTCTTCTTTTACGTCACTTTCACTTTGAAACAATGGATTAATTGGGAGAAGATGCATGTACCTATGCCTATGCCTATGCCTATGCCTATGCCTATGCCTATACCTATGAGATGCGACCATGAAAGCTTTGCTTTTTCATCAGATTTTCCTCGAATCTGTCGTGTTTCAAAGGAGAGAGATGAAATTCACATGCTTCCTATATATTAATATGATTGTATGCAGACCAATCAAATGGATAATCTAAACGGACTTGAAAAACAAAGGCTTAATCACATTTGTAATAGAAAATATTGTATGAACTACCAGCACTGAACCCTAAATAATGGTTCAAGAGATATATTTGTGTGAAATGTTATCCTGTACCATCCACTTCCAAAAGAAATGTATGGTGGTACAAAGGCAAAAAAAGAAGAAAACGACGTCTAAACTGCACTAAAAGTTACGGCGTACAAGACTAGGACTAGCTAGCATCTTCTAGCAATAATGATGTCAAATCCAACAGTTTCATGTCGTGTTCCATCCACATGCTTGTGAAAAAAGTGATGTAATTGCAAGATTAATCATTGGTTTAAGGTGGTTAGCCTTAAAAAATTGTTTAATTACCAAAGGACTTAAACTCATTCTAATGACGAGATATTTTTAGGATCTGTGGACAAAACAGCTTTCAAAGTCCATGCCTGGTGTCCAAACAAAATGCAAAAAGATATGATCTATTGCCAGATTCGATCAGTATTTGGAAAATCGACAATGCCAAAAGGTAATGCTGTAAATGAAAAAAGTGAACAGTTTTGTAGAGGAGAATATTTAATTGTGGATAAGGTTGTTCATCTGATACATGACTTGTTATTCCCATTTTTACATGGCATAAAAAAGAATGGTGCAACTTAAAACTTGCAAAGTTCGTTCATCATAATAAGATTAGAAAATAGTATTTATGTGAACTCATTAAGTGACTTTAATGATTAAATAAAGTGTTATTTTTCCTTAATATTTTGTGTTCGACCAGTTGCATGCAAAGCGTGTTTGCGTTGTCAAGGACTACAAAAAATTATAAACAGATATAACATTATAATTACTCTAAATTATCAAAAAAATAATATTTATATATAATTTTAAATATAAATAAACTGATTTATATTTACAGATTAAACTACTTAGAGAAAACATATCATTCTTTATCACTATGACCACTCCTTGAATTCATCCTAAAACGCTCGCTAATGTTTAAGTTAAAAGAAGTTTTTGAATATAATATATTAGAATGTAAAGATAGAGATTTAAGGGTTTTCTAACCCCTTTATAGAGTCAGTGGTCCTCAGCTATGCCCGTGGCCTTGCAGCTTCTTTGTTACAGGCTCTGGACCTTATTTTAGCTATTTTGGGCCCATAAAATGACCTAATTAGTGGTATAACAAATTCCATTTAAAATGGAATACAAGGGCTCGTTATCAGAATCTTTCAACCCGTCTCGGAGATTCGGTAAGATGACCCTTTATCACCATATTTATTTGTTATCTGTATGGAAAAGTTTTCTCAAACCATCCAAATAACTGCTTTTCGGGGTAAATGGATTCCATTCAAAACCTCGTCTAAGGGTCCTGCGATATTCCATCTTTTCTTGGCGGATGACATGATCCTATTTACGGAAGCATCTATTAAGCAAATGATGGTCATTCGATCAGTTTTGGAAGACTTTTGTGTGGTCTATGGTCACAAAGTTACTTGTGCCAAAATAAATATATATTATTCCAAAAAAATGTCTCGTGCAATCTGCGACATCACATCAATAATGGTTTTGGGTTTACTAAGGTTGATGACTTGGGTAAGTACCTCGGTGTGCCTTCGTTACATCGAAGGGTTACCTCTACCTCGTACAACTATTTAATCCAAATGGTGCTGAGGAAACTTAGTGGGTGGAAAGCGAGATGCTTATCTCTAGCTGGTCGGGTTACCGTAGCCAAAGCAGTGCTCGCCACTCTTCCCACTTATACGATGCAGACTGTTGTTCTCCCTAAAAGGATCTGTTTAATCAAGTGGGATGATGTGTGTCAACCGGTTACTTGTGGTGGTCTTGGATTCCGACATTTTAAAACTATTAATGAAGCATTTTTGATGAAATTAGCCTTTAATATGCTTGTTCGTCGGAATGAGTACTTATGGGTTCGCTTCATTCGAGCTAAGTACAAGTGTGAGGATGGTGTGCCGATGGTCCTCCAAAACTCGAACTGTTCACGGCTTTGGAAGGGTCTTAGTATTATTTGGAATGATGTTAGGGAGAACATTGATTAGTCTATTGGTTCGGGTATGGAAGCTGAGTTTTGGCGTGATACGTGGATCCGAGAAATTGTCCGCTTATTAATTATGCGGTTCCCGATTCTGTTCCTGCTTTGGGTTACGCTTCCGTTTTTTATATGTATACTGCAAGTAGAGAATGACGTTGGCCATTATTTACTCAATTCTTGCCACAAGAAATCCTGGTATGTATTGCAGCTTTGAAAGGACCGAGCAACACTTTAATCAAGACAGAGTAGGGTGGCGTTGCAACCAGGACCGCTCCTTTATGGTTAAGTCGGCTTATATTGTACGACATGGTGAAGTCATCGGCCCCAGTAATCGAATTTGGAACATTATCCACACATTTCAAAGTTTGCCTCGAATCAAATTGTTCATGTGGCTTATTTGTCACCGCAAGCTTATGACAAATGATGAGCGCGCTTGTCGTCACTTCGCTGATGATCCAAGTTGTTCTATTTACGGGGCTGCTTGTGAAGACATCGACCATGTTTTACGTTGGTGCCCAGCTACTTATCAGACTTGGAATGATCTGATCGTGCCTAACAAAATGTACTCCTTGTCCATGGATATTTCAGATTGGATCGCCATGAACTTACAAGGTGATTCGAACTTTGCCAAGAATCCATCTGGCTGGCCGTTGTTGTTTGCGGCAGTGATCTGGAACTTATGGCGTGGTCGCAATGCAAAATTTTTTTAGGCACCTATGGAAGTGGCTGGAATGATAATTGAACGTAGTGCTCGTCTTGTCCAGTTAACCCTACAAGCTGCTGCAATTTGCCGTGGTTCCTCAGTTTGGGTGCCTCCGTCGAATTCTTGGATTAAACTTAATTCATTTGCTGCTTGGAGATAAGCTGATAGTTATGCTCGGTGTGGCAGGGTTGCGAGAGATAGTGCCGGAAGATGGTTGTTTGGGTTTTCTAAGTTTATTGGTGCATGCTCGGTTACTGATGCTGAGTTGTGGGGTGCCTTTGTTGGTCTTAATCTGGCTTGGGATAAGGGATTTCGATAAGTTATTCTTGAGTTTGATAGTATGAAAGCGTTAAATATTCTTAGATCGGATTATAATGGAATCCACTCGCTTGACTAGCATCTCAACGAATTGAGAGGATGAAATTGATGTGTTCAAATTCAACATGTACTTCGGAATGGTAACAAAGTTGTGGATGCTTTGGCGAAGGGCGTCTCTTTTGACAATTTGGATCAAATCACTTATGCCTCCCCACCGGTGTCGATCGAGAGACTCCTACAATAAGACTTGATGACGACGAACCATGTTGTTAGTTAATACTTGGTTGGCTTGTTTATGTAGCTTGATTCCTTGTTGGCATTTTAGATTACCACATGTACTATTTTCTTCCATTTAGGTTAAGGATATTTTTAATGAGACATGTGTTAATCTTTCTCCAGTATGTCTTCTTGGCTAATGAAATCGTACATTTCATCAATATATATATATATATAAAAGGAAATATTTCTGGTACCTATGCTATGACGGCAATTCATGTTGCTAGAAACGTTGTTTAAGTCGATTCTATATGATTATAAATATAGACTGATGCGAGTATAGTTTAAGTTGAGAGATAGTTATGAGAGTTTAGTAAATTCAACAAAGATTTAAGAGTTTGTAAATTAACAATTAATGTATTATCATAAAATTATTTATATTTATTTGCGATAATAATGTTGTGTCACTTATAAAATTAAAGAGGTCCCCTCTATGCTTTTAATACAATATTTCATTTCGAGTCAAATAATCTTTTTATAGATGAAAATTATTAGTCAATCAATGATCAATATTTAAAATGACACAACAAACTTACATGACTTCGGACGCAATGTGTAAGTCAAGGTGGAGACGTACCTACCATGAAATCTAATTTTTTATGTTAGTTCTTTATTTAGTTATGGTACCTACCTTAAAATTTTATTTATGCCTACTCGATACTAAAAATTCTATTATTAATACATATGTTGTTG